ATAATAATAATAATTTTTCAAAGTTATAAAATGTGAGGCAGCGTGGTGGAATCAGGCTCTCGTCAAAATAATCAAAATGAAGAAACTTGGTTTTTCCGCAGGTTTGTGAATTTTTATCAAATTTTTGTTTTTTGGCTCAACACCTTTCATGTCCTCTAAAGAACTCATGTTTGAGTGGATTTTTCTGAAAAGTGTTGATTAAAGGCACAAAAAAATGTAAATTTTAAGTTACCACAGACTTTTAAGTTGAGGAAATAACTATACTTTGGCGGCCATTTTCTCACTAATTTTGCCTCTGAAAATAGGTGACCCCCACCTCCTTCTTTCGCAAATATCTCGACTTGTATTCAAGATAAATGGATATTTAAAAAAAATCAAAATAAAGACAAATGAACAAACTTTAAGATAATACCTATAACTCTACATGTCCAAAAATTGACGAGAGCCTGATTCCACCACGATGCCTCACAAATAGTTTTTTTTTTCAGTTCAAATAATATACACATAACAAATTCAAAGACCGCATAGAAAGACCAGATTGCACCTAACAAATCCAAATATACAAATGACGTCATAAAAAAATTCTAAAACAACAATAGCAAGTTCAAATGTAAACATAGAAATCTCAAATGTAACACATAGCAAATTCAAATGCCACATAACAAGTTCAAATGTAAATATGCTTGAACTAGAGTAAAAGGAGACTGAGTGGGTGGTTGGCGGGTGCTCTGGTGTGGTTTGTTCCTTCTTTCCTATCTAACATCTATCATCCTCATCTCTCCTCCTTTTTTGTGTCTGTTACTCTCTTGTAACGCCTCTAATCTTCGGCACTTATATGACCTTATTGTGCTGCAAGTGCCGTAAAACTCTTACTAAAACTAAAAAAGAGGCTAAAAGTATAAGAAGTATATCAAGGTAAGAAATAAAAGGTTTGGTTTTTTTTGGGCCACGAAAAAGTTAGACGTAAGCCGTGTGGTGCCACAAGGAAGAAATCATGCGAGACGAAAGTAATACATGTAATTAAATTATGTTAAAAACCGAAAGTAAATCCCATGTTTAACAGAAACGAATGGTTATGATACAAATCAACATACTACTGGTATATTATAGAACTAACTGAGTGAAATCTAAAGCCAAGTTTACTTTGATTTACTTATTGTTGCACTACAAAACGCTATGGCTCATAGGCTTGCAGTGATCTGAAATGTAGAAAAAAGTGGGGATGATATAGAAAAAAGTGTGGTTGGTGTAGAAAATAGTGGGGATGAAGTGGAAAATAGTTTGCTTAATGTAGATAAATGTAGAAAATAGTGGGGATAATGTAGAAAAAAGTGTCGTTGATGTAGAAAATAGTGGGGGGTAATGTAAGAAAATAGTTGGGATGATGTAGAAATAAAGTGTGGTTGATATAGAAAAAAGTCTAAATGATATAGAAAATAGTGGGGATGATGTAGAAAAAAGCGTTGTAAATGTAGAATTATGTTAGGATGACATAGAAAAAAGTGTGGTTGATGTAACAAATAGTTGGGATGACGTAGAAAATAGCGTGGATGATGTAAGAAAACGCGTGGCTTATGTAGAAAAAAGTGTTTGATATAGAAAATATTGGCGGTGATGTACAGTTAGAAAATAGTGACGTTAATGTAGAAAATGGTGCAAGTGATGTTGACAATACTGGGGATGATATAGAAAATAGAGGGGTTTGTGTAGAAAATAGTGGAGATGTTGATGAAAATAGTTGGTGTGATGTAGAAAATACAGTGTAGTAAAGGTGATGTAGAAAAAAAGTGTGGTTGATGTAGAAAATAGTAGGGATGATGTAAGAATAAGTGTGGCTTATGTAGAAAAAGTGGGGATGATGTGGAAAATAGTGGGGATGATGTAGAAAAAGTGTTTTTAATGTAGAAAAAAGTGTGGATGATGTAGAAAATAGTGGGGGTGATGTAAGAAAAAGTTTGTCTTATGTAGAAAAAAGTGTGGTCGGTGTATACAAAAGTTGGGATGATGTAGAAAATAGTGGGAATAATATAGAAAAAACTTTGTCTGATGTAGAAAAAGGTGTTGTTCATGTAGAAAATAGTGGGGATGATGTACAAAATAGTGAGCATAATGTAAGGAAACGTTTGGCTTATGTAGAAAAAGTGTGGATGATGTAGAAAAAAGTGTGGATGGTGTAGAAAAAAGTTGGAATGACGTAGAAAAAAGTGTGGTTGAAGTAGAAAATAGTTGGGATGATGTGGAAAATACTGTGCTTAAGGTAGAAAAAAGTGTTGCTTGATGTAGAAAAAAGTGGGGTGAAGAAGAAAAAAGTATGGTTTATGTAGAAAAAAGGGGGGATGATGTAGAAAATAGTGTGATGATGTATAAAGATATGTGGCTTTTTTCGATGAAAGTGGAGATGATGTATAAAGTAGTGGGGATGATAATATGAGAAAAAGTGTGGCTTATGTAGAAAAAAGTGGGGACGATGTAGAAAAAGATGTGGTTGATGTAGGAAATAGTTGGGGTGAGATAAGAAAAAGTGTGGCTTATGTAAAAGAAGGTGGGAATGATGTTTTTAAAAAAAGTGTGGTTAATATTGAAAATAGTTGGGACGATGTAGAAAAAAGTCTGGTTGATGTAGAAAATAGTGGGGATGATGCAGAAAATAGTGGGGGTGATGTACAGTTAGAAAAGAGTGGGGATAACGTAGAAAATAGTGCAAGTGATGTTGACAATACTGGGGATGATATAGAAAACAGAGGGGTTTGTGTAGAAAATAGTAGGGATGATGTTGAAAATAGTTGGTGTGATGTAGAAAATACAGTGTAGTGAGGAAGATGTAGAAAATAATTGGAATGATGTAAGAATAAGTGTGGCTTATGTATAAAAAAGTGGGGATAATGTAGAAAATAAGGGATAATGTAGAAAAAAGTGTGCTTAATGTAAAAAAAATAGTGGGGATGATGTAGAAAATAGTGTTGTTGGTGTAGAAAATAT